ATTACTAATATATTGTTATAATTGTATTAGATATAGATAAAATGTTTTTTACCATTAATTAATATTGTAATTGATTACTTCCATATTTAGTTGTTATTTTAGTCCTATTTAATGAGAGAACCTCTCACAAAGAAGGGTATCGAGTCTTTTATTGAGTATATTTGACATGTATACCTAGCGGAGTTGTTGATTATCTTAGAGAACGGAAAAGAAGTACCTCCCATTATATATGACATGAATAGAATTGACAGCTAAAAAAACAAAGAAGAATGTAGAAACGCGCATCAGAAATTCACAGATTTAGATTAATAAGCAAAGCAATTAAAGAAGAAAATAGGAACATTGAAACAAGCATCAGAAAATGCATATATATAGACTAGTAAGAAAGGGCTTAACCATGATCTTCGGCTCCTGCTACTTCTAGTTTTGTAGGGCTACCAGCTCCAGCATCTCGAAAGAAACGAGTCAACGTGTAAACTACATCCCCAAACTTAGTGTAACACTGCATTCAGAAGTGCACAGAACTTTAACGAATGGGAGGAAAAAGGAGAATAAGAAAAGCCTGTAAAACAACACAAACCGTACTTTGGTGTGAGGCTGTATCCACATTGATATTTGAGACTGACGACTTGAATTTGTAAACCTATTTGACACAGGAAGTAAAATGAAGAAACATACATGAGCTGCAGTAATATATGTTGACAAAATTGGGGAAGAGAGTCACAAATTACATCACTGACAAATAATATCCTGAACTATACAGTAGATCAGGCACAATACAGAATGTAGATAACACTACCCATAATATCCTTACCTCTGCAAGGCTGAAGAATATTCTTACGAATTATGCCCAATACTGTTATAAAGTAGTGATTTCAAACCAGAGGTTAATAGTACCCTGACAACTTTATGTAAGGCGGAGTTTTTTTTGTTTTTATTTATTTATTATTTATTATTATTATTATTATTATTATTATTATTATTTTTGTACATGTTGGAGTTCCCTTGCATATTTCTTGTAGCACATAGATGTTGAATAGGTTATGCACATAACTCTGAACAAAGCAATTTCACCGGATACTTTTCCACATTCAAGAATCCCCTCCCTCATTCCAGTCTTCCCCGAAAAGTAACTAGTCCCTATTTAGTCACATTTCCATATTCCAATTGAACACTTTCCATTTTCAGTTGTAATGCTTCAAGATTCCTATTATCTTAGCAGTAATGTACCTCGATTTTGACTTTTCACAATGCCAGTAATTGAAGGATTGTTGAAGTTTAATAAAACATTTACAGGTAAAGCATTTGTAACATGTAGATAGACAAGAATTGAACGTAACCGAATTATTTTTTTAGTGAAAAAACCCTATATATCTACATGACATAACAATATAAATTGTACTTGGTGACAATTTGAGGATCAACTCTAAGATAATTGATGGCAACAACCTTTCATCACAAAATATAATTGCTCCATAATCATGGCGATGACGAATGACTCGACCTACAGCCTGATTTACAGCTCGTGATGCTTGTTGAGTGTACCACTCTTCTCCGTACAGACCCTGTCACTTGACAACAATATTAGTAGCAAATTAATGTTGACAAAATAGAGTTTTTCGTAAAATATGATTATTTCATTTTGCTAGTTCAATACTACCTTGCAGCCTATCTTTTGTGACTGTGCTTGTTGATCCAAGTACTCACGTTTCAGACGAACCTGTCTTGCACCATATAACATTGAAGAATTGTCTAAAAAATATTAATATGAAAAAGAAAAGGGAAAGGGAAAAGTAGAGACATCTATCTCTTGTTCATGTTATTCATTGATGGAAGCGAACATCAAAAATGGCAATTGATTCTTGCTACTAGTATTTCTGTATTGACAGAGGGATCCCTCAATCAGGGTTTCTCCATCTCAGCAATGGATTGGGATTGTGTATTTCATTTTTTTTCTATAAGATTCGGTTTTGTGAACTGAAAAAGGAAATGAGATATCCACCATATGTTTAATCGAAAAAGTGACCAGAAGTATGTCCATCAAAGCTAGAGAAGCCAGGTTTATAAAAAACTGGCACTTGAAGAAGATTGATAGAACCTTCCACATCTTTAAAATTAGTGGACTATCCTGCATTGAAAATTCAGGGGAACAGATTTGAAGGGAAAAAGGCACAGTAAAACAAACCTTAGGATCAGTTATGGTGGCAAATGGTATACCAGTGATGACCACTGCCCTACCCGCGTGATCAGCAAAATCCAATCCTTCACTCACCTATTATATATGATCGAAAAGCTATAAAAGTGACCTCCACATAAACAAAAGCAATATAATGATTGAAAAGCGACAAAAGTGTTACCATCTGCATGAACAAAAGCATTTGCCACTTAGTGTAAAGAACTTCAATAAAGCAATGCGTCAAAGACATTTTCTGGACGTGCATAGAATAACTCAAAGAAGAAAATGAACCAAGTAACAGTATTTCTGAAAATATAATTGTACTCAACTCTAACAGAATATATTACTAACTTAACGACTAGAAGGTTTTTAGCTATACTTACCAATACTTTGTTCGGTTGACCAAAAGTTGATTTATGATATTCTCATTGTTCTTCTGCACTTCAATGGCAATAAAATGCAACTTTGTGTGAAAGTATATATTTTAATCTAGAACATTGCTAACAAATTGCAGGAAAACAAATTGTCATAAGTATTAAATGTCATTCATGAGCATATTCATTTGCTCCTATATCCATAGAGAACTACTTTAGAGTTGCAGCATGCAGACTCAAAGTTCAAAATACAAAACTGCACGAAAGCAAGAGACAAGAAATAAATCATTTGGACTTCCGAAAGATGTTGTGTACAGTTCCACTAATCAGCATGTAACACACAACTCTTGTTCTTTTTCAGACCCATCAAATATACACAAACCTAATAACCATGTTATCTACAGCAATCATTATACATACATACGCCATAAGCATGCTCTATCAGGGAGTAACAGCATAGGATAGACACCAGAATACTCTGTATAGATACATTAGGTTTACATATTTAAGACTTTCAAAAGCCCCAAGTCTGAAAGTCAATTAACATTTATAAATGTAAAACCAAATGGCAGTAAAGCCGCAAGAAACTTGTTGTGTTACATGGGATATACCTTGCCACGGCAGACTGCAAAAAATACTGCCCCAGAAGTTGATTTGACTTTTATTTTTGTCATGTAGTCCTGATCCATGGAAAAATGCAAGAAGATAGATAATAAAGCAGTGGAACAGCTGAGAGTTCGCTGACGACATTATAAGGTAATAAAGATGACAGAAGACATCTGTATTTGCAGTACTTACTTCAATTGCCAAAGGAAAGAGTGAAGATTGCCTGGGTTCCACAACCGGCAACTTAAATTTGCATATTCTTTCCCAGATTGTACTGGAATTTATTAAGTTTACATTACCCTAAAAAGCATGAAAGATGGTCATTGAAAAAGAAATACACAGCAGACCATTTATTCTTCAGTGTTATATGTCTTACCGCAGTTTTCCAGCAGCTTATACATTGATCCAGAAAGTAGTAAGATGGGAAAAATACAAGAAGACCATCCGGCACAATACGAGCAAAATTTACTGAAGCATGAAATTTAAGTTTTAGAGATCTTGTCAAATAAATACTTGCTGCATGTTGTAGTACAGCTCTTGCACTATGCTTTTCCAAACTCCAAATTTCTCAAAATATTGTAATTTTTGGAATAAAATGCATACCAATGGCATTGCCAAGTTCCTGCTTGTACTCTACGGAATCACGACTGCGATAAGAAGAATTAAAAGAATAGCCAGATGGCCCAACTGGTACCACTCCGGCCCATATCTGATCCCCTGTAATAACATGAGGATTCTCCAAACGAACAGGAAATTCTCTGCAAAAAAGGAAACTAACATAAATGTTGCATACTTCAAAACCAAGAAAGAATCTGATTCTAAAGAAAAACCGCCTGGATAAGAGAAACTTACAATTTCAATTCCTCAGCAAATGAATCCAGAGGTGATAATGTGCCAGATGTCAAAATGATGGATCCAACACCTCGCTTCGAGAACTCCTCCATGGCAATTCCTGGATTGAAACACCACCAGCTTAGTATTCGAGAAGACTTCCCTGCATCATCCAAAGTCAAACGAATATTAAGCAATACAGAGGTGTACGGAGTATTTAACAGATAAAACTTACAATAGAACACGCACTTGAATCTAGACAGACAACGGTAAGAAAGGTGCGTTAGTTCAGATTTTTGACAGTTAACACATCTTGTTAACTCGAAATATTATGTGGATGAGCTACAGGTTATTTCATTTTTTTCTCTTTCCTTTCCAGTTTCATTATCATGAACAAATGAGAACATGTCAACAATTTAAATTTACTGAACTCTACAATTACTATTCAAAAAGAGTTTCATGTCACTTCCAGCAAAACACATACCCCACACAGGCTTTGGATTCATTGCAGCTGGAAAGCAAAGCTATTAATCAATGCTTCAACATTTTGTGATCTGTTTAAAGTTTAAACAAATATATTCATTGTATGATTGATTTCACAAGGCCACGAGAAGAAAACATAGTATTATGCAAATTTAAGTTATGCGCTACTCTTGCGACTTGTGAGAACATAAGAACTTCATTAAAATAATTCAACACGTGCGTAAAAGAAAGTTCTTCAATAATGTCAGATAGAAAACTTTTTACAACCTTTAAAGACATCTACAGCACTTGCTTCAACTTCTTGGATATGAACCTAAAAAAGTGTCAAGAGTCGAAGACTTGCGTCAGACAATGATCTCAATCAGTAACAATAAAATTTAGCTCTGAAGAAAAAATGTAAAATGGCAGGGGAAATTCTAACAACACAACAAAAAAATATTGATTTCCAAACTCACGCGATAGAATTTGGCATGAGCATTACTACCATCTCTGAAAATCGTTCTAAGAATGTCACCCATGCTTTCCAACCTACAAACTGTTCCCTTTGTTTTGTGAGATCCTCCAGCGTCAACGACATTTGTGTCTGATGGTATGACCAGAAAATTAGTGGATCAGATAAAAAATATTACCAGATCAACAATAAAACTAGTACCAAAATTTAGAGTACAAAATGTAGTCTGCTTTAACAAAACAGATGTATGTGAGTGTGTGCGCGTGTGTGTGTGTGAGAGAAAGAGAGTTCATGGCATCGGCGTGAGAAAAAACTACAGATTTCATATTCTAAATACATTATATCGTAGAGTAAGATATTGAATGCCAAGGCAGTGGCGGTTTTGTACCTTCCTCGAGAAGTAAACATGCTTCCTCAGTGATATCAATCAGCATAGTGGCAGTTTTCTGAGTGATATTTAGATCAGCAAGTAGCTCATAAATATACGGCCCAGGCTTTGTAAAACCCAATTCTTTGGATTCAATAGGCACCTCGGATATTCTCTTCTCAAGCTTCAAAAGAAGTGCTGCAGGAATAGCACAATTAAATAAAAAATAATCTAGCTTAAGGGAATGCAAGCAATAGCACACTAAAGACATTATTCAGGAAGACAAAGTCTCGTTTCCAGGTCAATGGCGTCTCATGAATGCATTTATATTTTTCTAAAAACCCATGATAAGATTAAAACATGAAGAGCAGTGATGTTTCAAGAATACATTCTTTGGTGCTGGCATCATCATTTGTCAGTCTGACACAATGCTTGATCACCTTGAAGTTCTGTTCATTCATGGAGATCCTATAGCAAGGTTCACCTCATTATTCTCTTTTCTCTGACATTGCCTGCTCTCTTTTCTAATTTTTGGATGTTCCTGGATAAGGCATCTTGATTTTCGTATCTTCAATTGCAGAGTTGTCTGGTGCTATATTTCACCTCAAATTAAACTTGACAGCTTCAATTTTAGGTTGCCAGAATTTTGGTTCTTTTCACAATTTTGTGCTAACCTGCAGGTAGTGATTTAGAATCTGGCAGGATGTGCTCACTGAAGAAACTGCTAAGGCAATACATACCAGAGAGGTATGTCTATATGAACTTAAACATGACAAGAAGTTCGGGATAAATATAGCATGTAATCGACTTCAACATGACAAAAGAAAAAATGCATGTTGATTTAATCTTCATTTCTGGACAGTGGGTTAGTATGGACCCCTTAAATATCCTCGTAAAGGCAGCTGATTGACATACTGATCAAGGGACTTGAAGATCAACCATTTCTGTCTATCACAAGCAAGCTGGGAATGATAAACTGCTTGGGAGGAGTGCTAGGAAGTCTTTGCAGTAACAGACAAATTATATGGTCCATATCATCTGGGATTTGATGTTGGATATCCTTTGGTGTGAAACTGACTTTGTATTCATCTTATCTGTAATTAGTGGCTAATTCATTGAAGTCATTTGATACCTAAAATAGAATAGTTTTCTTTTCTTCCTTCTTTATGAAACAATAAAAAGTAAGCTTGAAATTGCTTTGTATGGTAAACAAGCGTTATTCAGAAATCATTCTCAGTTTTCAGATCCACAGCTGGCTACTGTTGTGTGTTGAAGGAACAACAAAAAAACTGTGTAGGTAGATCAAGTGCTGAATCTACGTATGCAGCAAAGAGACATACTACTTATGTGTTGCATATTTGAAGCATTTCTGAAGGAACTTGGATATTGCAAACCCTTTGCATTTGTATTTTGACAATAAGTTGCTATTAACCTCGCATCTAGTATTGTTTCCAAAGGGATGAAACATATTTTAGTAAATCCCCATTTGTCACAAGAATAAATATTGCACAGGGTGATTCAAAGATCACATGTTAAGACAGGGGAGCACCAGTTTACATAGCAAAGCATTGGGTGGCTTAGACTTGAGTATATCAGTAACAAGCTGGGTACAAATGATGTATATTTTTTCAGCTTGAGGGGTAGCTTCAGGAACATTAGACATACATCTCTCTTGATGAAGGACAAATATAAAATGTCTGGCAGTTCTGAATTCCGATCAATTGATATGTCCTATTTTATCTATCCACCAATATGTTTATATATCAATTGTTAACCATCTCATTTAAAAGTTTAAACCATTAGATAGAGACCATGAGTGACTCGTATTCATTTAAAAATTGTCTTCAAAACACTTCCTCGTGTACAAACCGAAGTAATTTTCTATAAATAACCTTGGGTGGCAACGAGACTTGATCCAAATCTTTTGCCGTGTTACCTATTTCATCTAAAAGCATAAGCTATTAAATAGGGATCACGTGTATTCATTATAATCTTGTTATAATGAAGGCAATTATTCTCAATCATTGAAGGCAAAAGCTCACTTTACCTCTAAGAACAGCGAAGTTATCTGGATTGCTTGACTTATCACTTGACTTTTCCCTCCTAGCAATAGAGAGGTCTACACAAGTTTTTGCTTCAGAAATACAAGCGGTCAGAAGACTAGAAGGCAGATCAAAAGAGGCCGCATCAGCACATAAGCCTTCCTGCACTTATAGAATATAGTCTATTTGTCAGTACTTGAGTGCGTCAAGTCCATAGTGCTTGAAGTTATTTGATAATTGATAACTCAAGTTTTTATCATAATTTTTGAAAGCAAAATGAATATCTGAATATCGGCCAGAACAGGGAAAAAAGGGTGTTCAACCAGAGTTGATGCATTCACGCATACCAAATTGTGGGCTTCATCAAATATGAGGATGCTGTTGTTCCACTCAATATTCAGAGATTTTCGGTTCCCAGGATCTATAAGATAGTTGTAAGGTGCAAATAAGATGTCAACAGCCTTGTGGAGATCCCGTGACAAGTAGTAAGGGCACCTAAAAATAAACAAACAATCATTTGCAACCTTAGTTTTACCAATTCAATGGTATAGATGATAAGGGTGACCAGAAAACCTACGGTCCACAGCTTCTTCCAATATTGACCAAGTCCTCTATGTCAATAGGATCATCTCCAAGACCAGGATTATTCTTCACAAATTCTAAAAGAATGCAAAGGCGGAGATGAGATATTTTGCAATACGATGAAATAATATCATGTGAAACACTTCACAAATTACTCAGAAACATATAGGTTCTATTCTGGAACATATTTTGCATAATTAGAGATCTAATGTTATCTAGAAAACATACCATCTTACAACGGAAATGCGAAGAACCAAACACTTGTACTGTTTTGATTTACAAAAATGAATTAGTTATTACAACTACTACGAACCATTGTGGCCTTTTACTATTGGAGAATCTTTACATTTACTAATAACAAAGGAATTCTCACTCTATTGCATTTAAGCCCCAATGGCTCAATATGCAGAACCCATTAATATCCTTACAAAACACCCTGGATACTTCAAAGGAAAAGGTAGACAACAAAGATTCGCTAGCTCCTTAAGATCCCATAACAAATTCTAATCTTATCAAACGTACACCCTTACTCATTTATGTAATGGAAATTACTACCCGTGCTTCCATTGCATCAGAGCACAACACTAGAGCATACAAGCTAGCCATGTTGAATTTCATCTCTACTTTATAACATTATGTACTTGGAGCGCTCTTCAATGAAAAATATCAGCTAGTAGACTGAATAGAATAGATATAAAAAACCAATGGATTCAATGGGTCCATTAAGTGACATGTTATGTGCAAAGCATGCAATTTTTTTATCAAGCTAGCCAAAACTTGAACTCCTGAGTATATTATACCCACAATCCTATGTGTGTAACGCATACGAAAGATATATAACGTGCAAATACCTGCAACGCGTGAGAAGTGGGCACAGTACTGCTTTGTGCGTTTCTTGCAAAGAGAGTGGCAGGCATTTGTCTGTGCTTTTCCACGGATTAGACTCACTTCTTCATGAATGCACAATTGCTCTCGAGATCCTAACACGACCATTTTGGGCCTGAACATTATCAGATAGTGAGCCAATTAAAGTTCGTCGGTGCAACTTTATGAACATAAACGTCTACAAAAGGCATCAGAAAGAAAAGCAGGAAAAGTACACGGTTGCTCCAAATAAACCACTAAAATAAAAGACACAACACGTAAAAGAACCAAAATGAATACAACAGCAGCAGAAGATTTCCAAATAGATTATCGTCTTGTTTTAAGTAATATTACAGTCTGATACATGCCGACATCAACATTAAATGCAACAAAATTTCAAACAATTAAAGTCTTAAAGGAAACAATAACAATGTCATAACCAATGAAAAATGGAAGCTCTGACAAAATCATTGCTCAATTGTGAAAATCATAAGCTTTGTAAGATTCAACTATTAAAATGCATTTCTGAAAAGACCTACTTATTGTTTGGGAAATTACAGCACGCTATCAGATATACATGAAATATACACTCTGTTTGGCTGTGCTGAAAAGTAGTTAAAATTCATTTTTCTATCCAGTCAAGCAAAGCAACATCATAAGAAATGCGCAAGAATCAGAACTTGAGTGCCATTATATCTCTACCGTCTCATTTAACCATCTCAACTGTTGCAGGAAAAGTAGAAAAGTAGAAGTGAACAAGTGAGGAAAATGATCTCATGGAAGAGCAGCTGAAAGAGATGCCCTATAGTGAGGCATTGCGTCAAGTTCACCTACTCCACTATGCAAAGAAGTGAAAGTGCCAGTCTTTACACAGAAGCACATTTTAATTAAATCTTTCTGTAACTTTAGTTTATCTGAACAACCATTGTCCAACCTGATGTCACTTGAAAGTATTTTCCTTTATCTCACGACTTTCCATTCTCTTAGCTGTCTACTATTTCATGTAGCTTCTTGCTTTATTCAATTACACATAAATGTGAGAATGATGAAAAACACACAATTTATTGAACTATGTAAGACCCTTCTCTCATGCTGAATCACAACATTGGAGATCTGTGCCAAAATCGGTTCTTTATTGTAAAAGCAATTGCAGAGAAACCTGACCTGTAAGTGGTCCTTTTCAGTTCTTGAATTACTTGCCGAATTTGGCTGTGGGTGCGTGATGTGTATATTATAGTGGGTAACTTTGAGCCCTGGGACTGTGGTAAAGATCCATCTGAATGTTGGCTTCCACTGATATGACTTCTTATCTCACTCTGATTGGTAGAGAAACTGCCCAAACTCTTTCTCCATGCCAATGTGGCACACAGAAGACAGAGTGTTTTTCCAGTTCCAGTTGGACTCTCCAATAGTGCATTACACCTCTGCCATCATAAGCAATTACAAACAAATGCGAGGGATGAATATTCACCACACTGATGTTAACATTGATATATGATCAATAAAATGTCCAAGAACTATTGAGTATTTTTTTCCATGAGTAATAAAGATAAGGACATGCATTTCATGACATCATAATGGCCAGCATGTGAAACATTCACGAGATAAATGTAGAATCGTCAATATACAAAATCTAAGTCAATCCAATATGGAATTAGAGCCCCTTTTCTTTTCTTGGCTGCCTTTACACACGCAGACAAATTAAGGCTACCCGGAAACCAAGATCACTCAATTGTATTAAAAGTACCCCAATAGCTAGCTTTTTGTTGATTATATATAACATAACATTTAACATCAAGTACCACTGTGCCTAATATTTAGTTGATTTCTCGTTCATTCCCAGTAATTAAACATGTAAAAACAACAAAGTATATATCGATTATTTCAATGTCAAACATTGACAAAAAAGAATTAATGAAAGTTATTATTTCTACCGTTTGAAGAGATTGAATGACTTTTTCCATATAAACGAGCTGGCAATCGTAAGCCTCGAAAGGGAAATCCAGATTGATTCCCCTAATCTTGTATGTCGGCATCTTGAGGAAGATTGAATATTTATTTTTTCCTCAGTGAAATGGAGGAGTAGTTTGCTGTAATGGAAAACCCTAGGATTGATTATAATGGCCAACTTTCCCGCCATCTTTCTGTTGAAGACGATTAAGGAAACGACATCGTTTGGTTGACAGACCCAGTCGCAATTTTTTCTCAAGATGTGTGATTTTCTGATTAGGCCCTCAGATTCAATTTATTTCCAAGTGAACCCATTTTGCTAATTTTTATGTCAAAATTCCATATAGCAAGAAAGGTTGACGCTAAGCAATTTAGCAAAGCTTAAAAGATGGTCAAAGTTACTTTTAAATCTGATAAAAGAAAATTTAAAAAGTACTTTTTTCAAAAATTTGAAAAAAATACAATTTTTATGAAGTTAAGAGCATACATACTGAATGTAAAAATTACATGCTGATTTTTTTGTTTTACTTCTCTTTTAAACTTAGCATTTAACATGTCATGAGAACGAGCACACACATACGAGTGGACAAAATAGGGGTCTGGATTAGTGTTTGTTTAATATCCATTAATTTATTTTATGATTTGTTATATGATTATTTCCAATCACACATTCACACAATAAAATATTCTATACGAATACCATAAGTTTTTTCCTACTTTTACCATAAATTTTTCTAAAAATACTATTTAAAACTCATTTTTTTCCCCATTAACGAGAATCAAACAGACTGTTTACACAAGGTTATTCTATAGCATGCCCAGTGTATCTCATGAGCCTTTTTTTTTTTTAGACGAATGAGTTTTATCTGTATTTGTCAATGTTAGTAACTTAGACCGTGTTTAGTTTGGATTAAAATTCAATTAAATTTTTAAATTAAAATCAAGAATTAATTTTAACCATACATTCCTGTGAGAGGGAAGGTAAAAAATGATAGCTGATTTGATAGTTAACGGCTAGATTTTTTATTAAAATTTCTCCCAAACGGGGCCTGAATGTAAAAATTACATGCAGATTTTTATGTTTTACTTCTCTTTTAAACTTAGCATTTAACATGTTACGAGAACGAGTACACACATACAAGTGGACAAAATAGGGGTCTGAATTAGTGTTTGTTTAACATCCATTAATTTATTTTATGATTTGTTATATGATCATTTTCAATCACACGTTCATACAATAAAATATTATATACGAATACCAGAAGTTTTTTCCTACTTTTAACCATATCTTTTTCTAAAAATACTATTTAAAACTCATATTTTCCCTATTAACGAGAATCAAACAGACTATTCACACAAGGCTATTCCATAGCATGCCTAGTGTATCTCATGAGCCTTTTTTTAGACGAATGAGTTTTTTATGTGTTTGTCAATGTTAGTAATTTGGACCATGTTTGGTTTGGATTAAAATTCAATTAAAATTTTAAATTAAAGTCAAGAATTAATTTTAACCATACATTTCATCAACTTTTATAAAAAATTAATAAAAATCTAATTTTAATCTTTACTATAATTTGGTCAAACTCTATTTTATTTTGCACATTTTCGTACAATCAATAACTTTTACATACTTACTAAGGTCCTGTTTGGGAGAAATTTTAATCAAAATTCTAGTCGTTAACTATCAAATCAGCCACCATTTTTTACTTTCCCTCTCACAGGGGGGCCCACGGGTTGACTATAATTGCTATAATTTTGATTAAAATTCCACAAAAATTGCTCCCAAACATGCTCTAAACAACGTTCCATTGAGATCCATTACTTTTAATCAATTATAAGCACTGACAAACATGGACTTCTCTCATTTTGCAAGCTTATTCGAGTCCTTATAATTTAGTCCATGTTTAGTTTAACTGAAATAGTTAATAAAAATTTAAATTAAAATCAATAATTCATTTTGATCTTTCATTTTAACGAGATTAAGCTTTATCAATTTTCTCACCACATATTTTATATATATATATATTTTTTATCAAAATTTCCTTAAGAATGGTCCCGTTTGAAACCCGTTTTTTCGAAGAAAATTTTATTTCTACTACAGTATATGCAGACATCCACTGCCTAAGGCCTGGGTAGTATCGGACAAGCAATTAATGGCCCATGTTCCCTTTTGAAATCTTCTGGTTTTGCCCTCGTATTGTACAAGAAAATTTCCCCAAACACCCTCAACTTTAGCTTTTGAATTTCACTGTTCTACCTAACACATTAAAAGGGCAATAATGGAAATATCCATTAAAATTGATTCAGACGGGCTATTAATGTCTGACATGAAAATGAACTCAAGTCAACATGGTCCCACAATTATGAAAACAATACTGTAGAAGAAATAAATTTTTGAGGAAAAACGGGTTTCAAACAATGGCTGAATTAGTAAGCACGTGGCTGTTCGGAAATTTGACAACCTTTTTGCACAAAAATGGGATGGCCTATGAAAGATTGAGAATGCAAGTGTAACTATATAAAAGTCAAAGACCTATTTACACAAAATGCAAATCAGATGGACCTCGCCTGCAATACCCGTGTTCTTCAAATTGCTGAGCCCTAAAATTTGCGGACTTTGCGAATTCTTCTCCATCGAATTCAACAGGAGCTTTATGAATTCTCCATTGAGCTCTTTTTCAAAAATTTTAGCTTCCAGGTGGCTGGATTGCTGTGCTTGTGCCGCTTTTAATTGTTCTTGCAGTCATTTTAATAATTTTGAAGAGAACAGGCGAGAACTGGTTTTTCACTCTAAATCAGAACTAAAATATAATTTGAAATCATGAAAAAAATTCCTCTGTTGATTTTTATTTTTGTGATATCCTTGCATTTTCCCTGTTGCCATATCTTGATTTTTTCGTGCATATGCGTATCAGTAAATGCGCCTTTTAAAGTGTAAAAAGGTGCATTAGTCTTCAATTTTCATGTTTTTTTTTTACCAACGTTTTTTCTGTATAAAACTTTTTGGTGATTTTCTCCAAAAGTCTCTACACTGTTTTGTTACTTTATTCTCAGTTATGCTGGCTCGATGAAGGTGAGAAAATTATGGATAGATAATAAATTGGTGGCAACTGGCAATTTTCATTTTTCAAAAGGATTCATGTCAACTTCATCACCTGCAGATTACAGATAACTACAAAATAAAGATGGGTGGAAAAGAATGAATATTACAGTTGCAATCTCATTCTTCTGACGCTTCTTATAATTATATCTGAATAATTATTTTGCTTTGGTTTTGCACAGTGTTGGTATTGTTCCGAGAATAAAATGACATCTTGGTGAGAGGATTGAAAATTTACCATGAATCTTATATGGAATGGCAAGATTTTGATTTCAGGCGTCAAGGGAAAAATGTTAGCAGGGTTAATTATTTCAAAGAGAGCAATATCCACATCATCTTATTTATATGAAAGAATCAAGCAGACAGGTGAATCTTTTTTTACCTGAATTTCACGTGGAATAATAACATTCTGCAGTTTGATTTATGCTTCTCTTTTTTAATAAATAAATTAATCGCTGCTATAGACAATACTGATTCGTTAACAATGACGAGTTCTGTATTTCAATTTTTCATAAACTTTACATTTTACTAGGTATTGTTTTCTCATGAAGTGAAAAATGGGTATTATGGTTTATTTATTGCAGAGAATGAAATTGTTCAGATGTTCTGCTTGACAAGTCCGAGAGATGAAAGTCAGAACTTTCTTTCACGGCGATCAGCTATGCGTAAGAACAGCTCCACAAGGACACTGGATGAGAGGTTCATAAGGATTTTAAAGATATTTAAGTGGGGTCCTGATGCAGAAAAGGCACTGGAGGTTTTGAAAATGAAGATTGATCACAGATTGGTTTGTGAAGTTCTACAAATAGATGTGGAGATCTATGTTAAGATGCAGTTTTTTAGGTGGGCTGGAAAGAGAAGAAATTTTGAGCATGACTCCACCACCTACATGACATTACTTCGTTGCCTAGAGGAAGCAAGTCTGTTTAGTGAAATGTGGAGGGCCATTCAAGAAATGGTCCGGAGTTCATGCCTCATTGGCCCAGCTGAGTTGTCTGAAATTTTGAGAATTTTGGGCAGGGCGAAGATGGTGAACAAAGCACTCTCTATCTTTTACCAGATTAAAAGTCGTAAATGCAAACCAACTGTGAGCACTTACAATTCCATAATTTTCATGCTGATGAAAGAAGGTCATCTTGCGAAAGTTCATGAGCTTTATAATGAAATGTGTAGTGAAGGTAACTGTTTCCCTGATACAGTAACATACAGTGCTCTCATATCGGCATTTGGGAAATTAGGCCGTGATGACTCTGCAATTCGGTTGTTTGAGGAAATGAAGGAGAACGGATTTCATCCCACAGCTAAAATCTATACTACTTTACTTGGGATATACTTCAAACTGGGTGAGGTTGAAAAGGCAATAGGACTGGTTCAGGAGATGAAAGACAAGGATTGCACCCCAACTGTGTATACTTATACAGAATTGATAAAGGGGCTGGGTAAAGCTGGGAGGGTTGAAGAAGCTTACTCTATATTTTTAAATATGCTTAGCGATGGTTGTAAGCCAGATGTTGTGCTTATAAACAATGTCATAAACCTTTTAGGCAGGGCAGGTCATTTAGCTGATGCTATAAAGCTCTTTGAAGAAATGGAATCCCTGAAATGCATCCCAAATGCAGTGACATACAACACTATTATTAAATCTCTTTTTGAAGGGAAAGCTCCAGTGCCTGAGGTCATCTCATGGTTTGAGAGGATGAAAACCAGTGGCATTAGTCCTAGCTCTTTTACTTATTCAATTCTCATAGATGGGTTTTGCAAGACAAATAGAGTAGAGAAAGCTCTGTTACTTCTTGAGGAGATGGATGAGAAAGGTTTTCCTCCATGTCCATCCGCCTATTGCAGTTTGATCAACAGTCTTGGAAGAGCAAAACGATATGAAGCTGCCCATGAGTTATTTCAAGAACTAAAAGAGAATTGCGGATCCTCCAGTGCTCGCGTATATGCTGTGATGATAAAGCATTTTGGCAAATGTGGACGTTTGTCTGAGGCTGTGGATCTTTTTAATGAGATGAAAAGTCTTGGTTGCAGTCCAGATATCTATGCTTATAATGCACTGATGTCAGGGATGGTAAGGTCTGGGATGGTAGATGAAGCTCATTCCTTGCTTCGAACTATGGAAGAAAACGGTTGCTTTCCTGACCTTAACTCGTATAATATTATTTTGAATGGCTTGGCCAAAAATGTTGGGCCTGAAAGAGCAGTGGAGATGTTCACAAAGATGAAGTTTTCCAAGTTGAAACCAGATGCTGTCTCTTACAACACAGTTCTTGGTTGTCTCAGCCGTGCTGGAATGTTTGAGGAGGCAGCAAAATTGATGAAAGAGATGCATTCAAATGGTTTTGAATATGATCTTATTACATACTCATCAATTCTTGAAGCGGTTGGTAAGATTGATGAGGATCGAGCACAAACAGCTCTTTGAACCAGATGCGGTATGATTTTCACCTTCAGCATGGGTATTTGATTCTGTCTTCTCAGCCTTTTTGATCATGCTACTTGTTAGTGACTGGTTAGCTCTATGGAATCTGGCTGCATATTCAAATGAAAAAGTATTTGCGATATGCACGTTGTCTGCTATGTGTAGGCGTGTCTTTTGGTCATTTAATAACTAGAAATAAATGTTGAAGAGAATTCTTATCGTTTCTTACTCTCAACATGAAAATATTTTGAAGAAACCAAACTTGTTAGTTAACATACACAGTTTTCTACGTTTCTCATTCTCCAGTTACATTGGGATTAATCACAGTTGATCCCCTGGTTGAGGCGTTGGACTTGTCTCCTCATGCTCAATGGCGTTCGCATGGGTGTTACAAAAATGAAGAGGTGAATCTTTGCTGCTTGAAAGGTAGAAGAAGGTGTTATGATCATCCACTGCCTTGAACTTTGACATAATTGGACAGTAGTTTAAATCACATCCAGTGTCTTTAGTTTTCTATATCAAAACAGTGCCTTACCATTATGCATTGTGGGAGAACCAGGAAAACAACAGACAATGGGATCTCATAAGATCATGTTTGGCTAAGCTTAAAAGTAACAGTTGGTGCAAAGAAATGGCCAAAAGCTTCATGGAGTTGGCAACTTAAAATTTATGGAGTAGATCATACGGCACTGATCAGAAGTAACACTGGAACAGCAAAATCTGGACTAGCATCAATTTTCTCTGCAGTATTAAAGAGGAGAACAGGTTTTTGTCTGAAGAAATTCAGTGAGTTCTGAGGACATCATGGACACAGATTAGTGAAGCTTGGATTATCAACAGTAATCTCCCATGTATGGATGGAAAGAAATGGCTGACATTTCGGGCAAAAAGTGCCCAACTCGACACCCACTTGCCTAACTCAACCTCTCAACTCACCCAAATCTCGAGCAACTTGCTCTGAGCTCTTCATCCTGGGCTGGTGCTACTTTGGATTTGATTTAACATTTTTGCTTAAAAAGTCTGCAGAGATGGTTTTTCCTTACAGTTGAGTTGTGTTCAGTTCTCTGTGGTTTACTCTGGCAACCTTATGAGCAATTTGTCATGTCTGACTATACTAGTCAATTTTGCGATGATTTTTTGACGAATAGATCTTTCTGTAAGCTGGCATACGATGAGTGATGCCAGTTTTGACCTTTGAATTATGAAAAATTGAATAAAGAGAAAAGTATTTGTAACAAAACTTTTTAGTTTGTTTAGCTTTTGTTTTCTAGAACTATGTTGAACCTTTTTTCCTTGATGTTCTTACCCGTATTTCACTTCTTCAATATAACATGTGCAAAAGATCAATGTTGGTGGTGGAAGAAAACTAAAAAAAGACGAACTACTAATTCTCATGTGATCTCATTTTGGTACTAAGCATCATATCGCGCTAGATGCTTATAAGACTCAAAAGGGATCATACTGCTTGTTGAAGAGCTGTGCATTAAATTCATAGCATAATATGACGACCCATAAAGATCAATGTTGTTGGTGGAACAACTTCTTTATTATTTATGGAATCTCTCAAATCTATACATTTCACACCATCCCGAAGTAAATCTCTTACTTTATCATTGTCTTTGGCCACACTTCATTGGTTTCCCATAGATGACGTGTCAGTGATGTACACTAAATCTATTTTTTATCATTGTCCTTGGTCCCATTTCATTGTTTTACTAATGATAACATGTTTGTTTCAGACATTTTGTTGATAATTTCTTGAAACCACTAAAATGCTAATCACGAGATCATTCTCACCAAACTGTAGGTTGGGTCCCATGTCTGATCAAGTAGTGATATGAATCATTTGCTACCGTATTCGATTATTTGTTACATTAATTAGAAGATGTAAAGCAATAAATTATTAATAACTACGACGTATCATGTAAATTTTCATATTTCCCAACTTGGGCTCCATTACCTTTATTAACAATAATTTCTTGAAAGTCTCTCACACGCATACAGAAGAATCATGAAGAAGATTCAAAAGAGAATGGTCGACAACAATAAAATCCCAATTTTTATTTCTAGTAATATACACTAGTTGCATAAATCTGTTGCTATTATGTTCGATTCTTTGTTGCATTAATTAGAGGAATTGAAACATTTAAAACATCGAAATCACAAAACTAAACATGTTAGTCAGATCGAGAATTGACTTACATCGCAATCATAACAATGGTCATTTACTTCCTCAAGTGTCATTTTCAAAATTATATTGACTTTGCCTCCACTTATGTACTGATTTAAGCAAATAAACTATTTATTTTAAGGATATTATCTATATTAAATACCACTCCCCCGTCTCATTTATATAGGCATATTTTGTTTTTCACACGGATTAAGAATTCTTATTTAATATTGAAAAATCAATTTTTACCAAAAACTTTCCTAGTTACCTTCCTTTAATTATCAATAACTAGTAGTAAATTATTATTGAAAGTGGTAAAGAAATAATTGTATATCAGTAAACCTACTGAACAGAACAAAACAAAACAAAACATTTTTAATAAAGAAACGAGATTATATAATTGAGATGAAAAAATAAGGAAAGCGAGTCTCAGACAGAGGGAGTATATCATATCATTATCATTTTATATTATTGTTCAGTAATATCTAATTCTTATTCATAACATATTACCTTCCACTCAACGGCCAAATTAATATATTTTTTAAAATTTATTTACCGAAATCAAACCGAATTTTCCACACAAACCCTCTCTTTTAAAACCGATTTAAATGTTTCAATAGCTACCGAACTTTATGCTATGCCACGAATTACTCATCGAACTTTCTTAAGCCTCCCATTAGCCATTGAACTTTGCTCCGTCGGACTCCGTTACTCACCGGATGGATGCTGTTTAACTTGATGCTTATGTGGATGACCGTTACTCACCGGATGGATGCTGTTTAACTTGATGCGTATGTGGATGATGGAAATATGAGGTGGTCTCTTAAATCATTCAAGCAGTGAAGTTCTGGGCCATGTCATCAATTGAAACACAACTTCCAATCAGTCTATTGTATTTCCAACAACTTAGAAATCCCAGAAAGCACCACAACCCTAACCCCCAAATGGATTCATTCTGCAAGAGCAATAGGAAACCCAACTCCGATCAGGAAGAAATTGAATGCATTTGTTTGTCGGTGCAAGCTACCCTTTCTTTCGCAATTCCGCTGCGGTAGTCCCAAGTTTGAGACTCCATTTCCTCAGCTCGTATAGCGTCCGAAGCGCAGGCAACTTGAAGCTCACCAGGTAAGGTTTGAAGCCAAATACGCTTCAAACGAAGTGGATTAAAGGTAAATTTACTCCATTTCAGTTACCAAATATTTTGTTTTAACATTAATTTTACCATGTAAAGGGTTTGTACGCATTTCCTTTTGTTTTTTTTTTTTTATATAATTAACTTGAATCCATCATTTTTTATAATGAAGAATTATATTGGGGGTTAGTTTTGTATTTGTCAATTCAGGGGTTGGAAACTTTTGCAGTCACTAATGATTCGTTTTCTGAGCTCCACTAATATGATTCAAGAAAATTCTGAGCTCCCTATTCTTCTCCCTCGCCACCACAAAGTATTCTGGAGGAAAATTCAAGAAAATCATCTCCTAGGCCGTCGGCGCACTTGTTCTCAGCCATTCTCTTATCCCGGGGGATCTTGTAAGTCTACAACCCTAAAATCGTTACTAGAATTCATTGCATTTTACTCTGTTTAATTTTTCTTTAGATTTAGCATACACAATGAAATATAATTAATTTGGATCTTTCTTTCTTTTTTTTTTTTGGGAATTAACATGCTGAATCATTTACCTTTGGGTTTACCGCAAGTTAATAGAACAGCATTGTTTGATTTTACATCCTAAAAGATGGCATTTTAAGTTGATTTACTTGGTCATTGCGGTTTTGCTTCTACTTGAACTTAACAACATTGCTCAATGACGTTCAATTTTGTTGAAATTGATCATTCTCTCTCTCTGCGCGCGCTGCATAATGGTATTCTTAAATTAATTGTCTGTACCTGTGCGTTTGTGTTATATCATCCTAAAAAACTCTGAGCTTGCAATTGTCAAATAAATTTTGGATTTAACAGAAGTTTTGGTTCAACTTTCTCTTATCACTATCAAGTCTTTGAATCTGAACGCCCTATCAATGTCAAATATCGCCTATGCCGCCTATAGTCAGGGCGGGGCTTGTCCCTGCAACAGGTTTTCTAAAAATGATACTGGAGTAACATTTATTTTGTGGGTTTTTGCTTGTTTTATTAATTTTTGGTCTGCATTAAATTTTTAATGTAATAAAATTTTTAGGGGACTAGGAAGACGTTAATTGGAGCTTGTAGACTTTTTTTTTGTGGGGTTTACATGTTTTTTAATTTATTTTTGTTGATGGATATGATTTTGCTAATTTTTATGATAAATATGCTTTTTAATGAGTTAACATGTTGGAACCTGGATGTTCCATTTACAGAACCTATATTAATGAGTATATATTTCTAAAATACTCATTTTATTTTATAATAAATTCTTAATTCAAATTTTAAGCATTATAATTTTATTTTTCTATAGTGACTTACGTATTGATATACTAATTGACATTCTTGGTCTTCTGTCGATCGAGAACTTGAAGGATACTCTGCTCTGCATTCGAACATTTCGATAGAGTTTTTTTAGTGCATCTATTTCTATCTTATCTTGCCCAAGGAGACTACGATTCCTTTCCCAAAAACACCCCACTTTAAGTATATATTTATAATTAAGTACAACTTATATGTTATAAACACTTAATATATAGTTAGTTTTATTGCATGTTGGGCATGGTGCAATGGTGGAGAATGATATGAGAGATATGGGGCTAACAGTTTATACGACTGTCAATAGGGACGCAAAAATTGTGCAAGCGTTGTGAAAACCAGGTAAAAAGAATGGGAGACCGCTGTTTTATTTTAAGACTAGGGGAATTATGTATTTAATAATGAAGTCATAGATTTAAATTTTTGAATTTCATATTTTTATTGTTTTTGGAATCATAAATAAGAATTAGATTCTATTGGTTTTGGCAGGATGATCAAATTGAGTTTTAAAAGTGTGATTGGTATACTTATAAAAAAAAAGTGTGATTGGTATATTTACTTTTTTCTGTTGTAGGATAATGGATATGTGCAAGGAGGACGTTAATTTAGAGTTGAAGAAAATTGAAAAGACCAGATATGATTCAAGGGAAACATGGAAGTTCTCTGTGCTACACAACCTTTTCCATTTCCTTCAACTTTAAATCGACGTCTTTTTTGTACTTATCCCTGTAATAGAAAAAAGTAAATGAACCGATCACACTTTTGAAACTCAATTTGATCATTCAGTAAAAAATAATAGAATCTAATTCTTATTTACGATTCCAAGAACGATAAAAATATAAAATTTAAGACTTCATTATTAAATACATAATTCTCCTCGTCTGAAAATAGAACAGCTCTCCCATTTTTTTTACTTGGCATCCACAACACTTGTACAATTTTTACGTCCCCATTGACAGTCGTATAAACAGTTTACCCCATATCTCTTATATCATTTTTTACCATTGCACCATGCCCAATATGCAATAAAATTAACTATATATTAAGTGTTTAAAACATATAGGTTGTACTTAATTATAACTATATTTTTAAAGTGGGGGTTGTTTTCAGGAAAGAAATCGTAGTGTCCTTGGGCTAGACGAGATAGTGCTAGATGCACTAGAAAAATTCTAGAAATATGTCGAAATGGTCGAATGTAGGGTAGAGTATCTTTCAAGTTCTCGATCGACAGACGACCAAGAATGTCAATTACTATATCAACACGCAAGTCACTGAGGGAAAATAAAATTATAATGCTTAAAATTTGAATTAGGAATTTATTATAAAATGAGTATTTTAGAAATATATACTCATTGATGTAAGTTCTGCATCAATGAGGGGTTGCTCAATTGGTCAGACCTTGGGTTTGCTCCCCAATGGTCACCAGTTCGAGTCCCCTCAGATCCATTGAGGTGAGTACCCGACCGTAAATTTCAGGGCCCCGTGGAATTAGTCGAGGTGCGCGCAAGTTGGCCCGAACATCCACGGTTATAAAAAAAAGGTTCTGCAAATAGAACCTCCAGATTCCAATTATCTTCATCCTCCTTGCACATGTTAACTCATTAAAAAACATATTTATCATAAAAAATTAGCAAAATCACATCTATCAAAGAAAATAAGTTAAAAAAGTATATAAAACCCACAAAAAGGAGTTCGCAAGTTCCAATTAATATCTCTCCAGTCCTCCTTGAACATTTTACACTAACATTTAATGCAAACAAAAAAAGGTAAAAAAGCACGAACCCACAAAAAATATTGCTCCATTATTATTTTTAGATAAGTTGATGAGTAAAAAATGCATAAAACATCACGGAAAACAAGTTAAATGCATAATATGAGTATACCCGTTACGAAAAACACTTAAAAAATAAATTAAACATACGTAAGATAATCACCTCACCTTTGAATATTGTGTGCTTGATGGACGAGAAGGATGTCAGAGGTTTCATTAAGAGAGATGAATTTGAGCAGATCAGTGTTCCAATTTTGGAACGTGTGAAGAAGCCATTGGCAAAGGCTCTAGCAGAAGCTGAACTTACAGTTGAGAATATTCACACTGTCGAGGTTGTTAGTTCAGGCTCTCGAGTTTCTGCTATCATCAAGATCTTGACCAAGTTCTTCGGAAAGGAACCTGGGTGCGCGAGTGTGTTGCCAAAGGCTCTGCTTTAGAATGTGCCATTCTTAGTCCCCACGTTTAAAGTGCGAGAATTCCAGGTATTGTTCTTGTCAACTGATAGTTCCTCCTACAGGTTCGCTATGCCCTTTGAATTTGGATTAAAAAGCACAAATTTTATATTAGTATAAGTCAGTTTTGATCTTTAGCTTCTTATTCTGTTGAGCCAAATGCTATATAGCTTTTGTTATTTTATCTGTTCTGTTTTATTTGTATGCTGAACAAATCTTACAAGCTGATTCTTTAGGATAGTGATAGGTTAATTGTAATACTCCAGACCAAGAAAGTTTAAGAGATTTGATAGGTACTACTCATACCAACAAGGTGCACCTTCTTTTCCGGAAGTCCATCGTTGGAAACTCCACAGTTAAGCGTGCTTGGCTTGGAGCAATTCTATGATGGGTGACCCCCCTGGGAAGTTTTCTCGGGGAGCATGCGAGTGAGGACAAAGCATGCTGAAAAGACACATGTTGGTACAGTGAGGACAGTACGTCGATCTAACAGCTAGGACAGCCCGTTAAGTGGGACCCGGGTCGTTACATTAATGGCTTATAGTTAGCGAGTTTACTGCATCGTGATTAATTACTGGTATCTTGAAATAGCACTCGGGCAAGGAGGATAAAATCTCTGTTTTGAGTAAGAATATGCTGATAGTTTTGGCAGTTTGCTGCATTTGGGGAAGAATGGTTGGTCATGGATTTCTTCTTTCTTTTTTCCTGATTTATCAATCACATTTGCAATGGGCTTTTCTTAGTTTTCCTTCTTCTTTAGAGTATTTGTTTTCTTGCATGCTTGGTTGGATAGAGGATGGGTAATTATGTCTATGAACATTTGCCTACCTATTCTGTTACGAATGTATGTCTATGAACAATCTCTCTGTAAGACCACTTACTGGAATAAAATACTTCACGAGATCTGTAATAAGATTCGTTTGACCTTCTGATTTGAAGGTTAACGAGAGCTTCCCATTTCCCATTGCTTTGTCATGGAAAGTATCTGCTGCAGATACTCAGAATGGAGCTGTGGATAATCAGCAGAGCACCATCGTGTTCCCCACTGGTAATCCAATACCTAGTGTTAGACCTCTGACATTCTATACATCTGGCACTTTCGTGGTTCATGTTCAACATGCTGATGTGAGTGAGTTGAAGGCACCAACAAAGATCAACACTTACACGGTAATCTATTTGTGTACTTCAGTCAGTCATCTCACTGAATATGTATTGTTGCTCGTTTGAAAATCTTTTTGTTTCTGATATTTTCTAATCCGAGGCACAGATTGGACCCTTCCAATCCACAAAGGGTGAACAAACAAAATTAAAGGTCAAAATATGCCTAAATCTGTATGGTATTATTTCACTCGAGTCAGCAACTGTAAGTCCTCTGTGTAGATCTCTTCTTAGTGGTCACTCTGTTAAAATATTTTTCTGAACTATAACTGCCCTGTTGGAAATTTAAATCAGCTTTTGGAAGAGGAGAAGGTGGAAGTTCCGATTGTAAAAGAGTCAGCAAAGGAACTGACCAAGATGGAAACAGACGAGGCTGCTGTAGATCCTGCTCATTCAAGTACCACTGAAACTGACATCAACATGCAAGATGCTAAAGGCTCTGCGGAAGTCCCTGGGGCTGAAAATGGCGTCCCTGACGTGGGAGATAAGCTCAGCCAGATGGAAACAGATGCAAATGTTAGTTAGCAATTATTTATGCAAATCAGGGAAGTTGTCTATTATCATTTATTAGTCTCCTCTTGCTCAATGCACCAGAAATGTTCACCTTATTATTATTACTTTTTTCTTCTTTAGATATCTTTTCCCCTTTTGCATGTTGTTGAGTTATTGGTTCAATTGCCACTTCTTTCAGTCTTCTATCACACATGCTCAGTTCTTTCTTCTCATTTTTTGCCTGTTTTTGGGAACATATGGGAAGATAAAATAAAGCAGTTGGTCCGTCAAAGTGGGCCCCTCTGCTTTTGGGTTAATATTTTTGAGNTATTTGTGAGTGGAATCTTTATTTTCCTGGCAAGTTTTGTTCTCACCTAGGAATTTGCATTGTTTGTCTATAGGCAGAGGCTCTGAAGAAGAAAGTTAAGAAAACAAGTGTCCCTGTGTCAGAATTGGTGTATGAAGGAATGGCTACTGTCGATTTGCAAAAAGCCGTGGAGAAGGAATTCGAGATGGCTTTGCAATATCTTGTTATGGAAGAAGCAAAAGATAAGAAGAATGCTGTTGAGGCTTATGTTATATGATATGAGGAATATGGTAAATTCTAGGACCATTAGATGGTCTTATGATTCTTCAGTAATTGAGTACTGACAGTTCTACTTCATATGTAGCTTAATGACAAATATCACGAGTTCGTGACGGATTCAGAGAGAGATCAGTTCATTGCTAAACTCCAGGAGGTCGAATATGAGGACTGTGAGGATGAAACTAAAGGTGTTTATATAGCGAAGCTCCAGATGGTAGGTGTCAGTGCCGTGTTATATTTTGTTTAAGCTTGGGAGATGGATGTATTGACTTGGACTTTTTATCTGCAGCAAAGTGATCCAATCGAGGAGCGATACAAGGAGCATATGGAAAGAGGATCTGTGATCAATCAACTTATTTATTGTATTAACAGTTACAGAGAAGCAACAATGTCAGATGATCCCACGTTCGTTCATATTGACTTAGCAGAGAAACAAAAGGTATACATATGTTCTGTACCTATATCTAATTTGTTACCCTTCCCTGTCCCTGTCCCTGTCCCTGTCCCTGTCCCTGCCCCTGCCCCTGCCCCTGCCCCTGCCCCTGCCCCCTCATCCACATAACAGAAACCCAATTTGTGTCTGTATGAGCATACAGACACATTGAAGTCTTAACGAATTGTGAATTTATTGCCAATTTTTGAGTGAGTGTCTGGAAGCCGAGGCTTGGTTGAGAGACAAAATGAAGCATCAAGATTCACTTCCAAAATATGCAGCTCCTGTTCTTTTGTCTGCGGACATCAGAAAAAAAAACTGAAGCTCTTGACAGGTACCATCTCTTATATAGGCAGTAATTATGAGTTGGTTTCCAGTCTGATTTATGGTTCTGATCCTTGTGCTTTGCTTCGGTCTTTGGTTCTGCAAATTTGCACGAACCGCAACGATTTGCATATTTTTGTTTGCAAGAGTTAAGGTTGCCTGATAGATTTTACTATTATTTAGGATCAGAATAAATGAGATGCTAAAGATAAAGGCTTCTCTTCTGAATGATGGGAAATTTCAAGTCCCCAACCTATTGTCCATGTAGCAAATTGGTTTCAAACTTTCATTACAGTTGTACAATGAGCCATCGACGATAGAAAGTGTCTACTCCTCTATTAAATCATCACATGATCTCATGGAAACACGACTAACTTCAAATATTTGGCACCGGAAACAAAATTTAGCTTCATAAAGTTGGACATTTGATGTTCGCATAATGATTTAGTAGAGGTTAAGACGGTCGATGAGAACTAATTGTGCAACAATAATGAATTGTAGCGAACCAACATGCTACTCGAGCAATAGGTTGGAGCCCCAATAGGAAAATTTTCACTTTAAATGGACCTGTATTGATGATTTCGGTTTCTTTCCAAGTATAATGTCCTGACAACTTAAAACTTTATTTGTTTTCATAGGTCTTGTATGCCGACAATGACAAAACCCATGCCAGTGAAGCCAACTACTCCCAAAACACCCTCGCCAACATCCTCTCAAGGAGGTTGTTCACAATCTCAAGGTGCAGAGAACCCAAATTCAAGTCCAAATCGAAACCCTGGTGCAACTGAGACTACTGGAACCGGAAATGAAGTATCATCACCTGCTGCAGAGCCCATGGAAACCGATAAGTCTGAGAGTGCACCCGATGCTGCATAAATCAGTAAATTGCAGCTTCAATGTTTTATGTCTACTTATATGGGTTCTTTTTTACGAAAAAGCAATCCTGACTTGCAACTTTTTTGATGGTCTATATTGATCATAAAATGTTTATTGGTGAGATTTATTTGGGTTATGTATATCCTTCTGCACTGTGCGCTTTAAGAATCCTGCTTTTCAGAAGGGTTTGTAAGAGAGATGAACAACCACTATACTCCTTCCGAGGTTATTATTATTCATGAAAATGCCACCTCCATGTTGGGGTGGGGGGTTGGTCGGCAATGCTTCGAATTTTCTTTACTTTGATTGAATTTCGTTGAAGTTGAGGATGGTCTCAGACATGGCTTATTCTTAATATAGTTTATTTCGAAATGCAGGAAAAAAAATCCGCAAAAGATGTTTTTGACTTTTTTCTTCCTGCGTACTCATTCTTCTTAGTTTATATCGTAGTTGAAACTCTTTCATAGTGGAGCTATATATTAGCCTATTGAGCTACCGAGTAATGTTATTTAATACCATTAATATTTAATATCAATTTAAGTGACATTATTTAGGGAGACGTTACGTGTACACAATGGTGTACACACGGCTTTACACCCCCTTCACATGGAGGGGGGCTCCACACACAATAAAATAGTCGTGGGTTTCCCTTCATGTGAGGGGGGTGTAAAGTCGTGTGTACATCTCATAGCATTTTTCCATCATTTATGTTATTAAATCATGCATTTAATTAAATATAAAAATGTATGACTTATTTAATAGGATTTATGATATGTTGATACCTATATTAGTGTTCAACACCATTGGTGTTAGATAACGTTATTTTTTTTCTTTGCTTGCTAAATGCTACATTTATGTCTTTTTTGGTTTGTTATTTTATTAAAACTAAGGAAACATTGGAAGTCTTTCAATTTTCGATTTTGTCATTTTTGGGAGTTATGAGAAATCAATGAGAATAAATTAAGACTTCATTTAGTGCAGTTGATTGTGCTCAAGTACATACGTTGTAGTTATAATCGTCAGAAACTAATTTTAGAAAGAGCGCGGATTAGTTAACTTTCAACTGTATTAAATCTATCACGAATTTGTGACCGTTGTTGCCGTTGAAAGCTAGTTGATCATAGAAAGTCTAATATTTCATATATAGAATTGAAGTACCAAATCAAATAACTAAAATGTCGATTAAATTATAATACAAAAAAATATTCTGTCTTTTCAAGCTCCATTGATGCAATTTTACGACATTAGAAGCTACTTAATTNNNATATATATATATATATGTATATGTATATATATATATATATATGTATATGTATATATATATATATATATAAGTTGATGAGAAATAATTAATGGGTTTTAAAGCCATTAATTTCATTTCACAAACCAAATCAGCAAAAAATTTGAATTTTTGTTCATAAATTCATATTCTCATAGCCGGTACTCTTTTCTACTTCACTAATTCCTAGGTAACAAAAGACAGATACAAACGGATTCCATGAGGTTGTCCCAGCAAGAATCAGTCAGTAGTTTTCTGTCGTTATGCATTCTCCTTTAAAAATTTTATCTCTGTGTATGTATACTAATTCCCATAATAAATGAGAATCCTCCCTCCATTTTACCCACAAAAATTCCTTTTCTTCAGTTCAAGTTCAATCTTGAATTTATCTGTATGTATTCTATAATTTCAGTTCATTTTCGTTCTTAAATTGAAAATGAGCTCTCTTGATGCTTGCATGAACCTTTTTTCTATCTATGATTTATGAATTTTGATACATTTCAGGATTTATTAGCTCTGCGTGGCTTGCATTCGTGCATATAAGCTTGACTAGCGGAATCTTGGTAAGATGTGTCCACCTTTCATGCATGCCTTGAAAGATTTTTAATTTTCTATACCCAAAAAAAAAAAAAAAAATTCCAGTTCAGATATCTTCATTTTCTTGTGGATCTGCGTTTACACTTGCTTTCGATATATCTATATCTATATATGTGTGTGTGTGAACTCCTTATTGGGTGTTTTTACTATAATTCAACAATTATATAGGACTTAGATTCCCTTTTATGTACATCAACCATACATTTTTAATGAACTTTGTTCTATTCCTTTATGATTTTTTTCTGCTTTTCTTTTTCTATTTTTCCTGCAGCAAGAAATTCGTAGAAAGTTTCTTGAAGTGCTGGAGAAAATGCTTGATTCAGAAGGAAATAACAACAGAAAAATTAAATCAGACGAGGTGGGGCTTGCCATTGTAAGTTCTTTAGTTGATGGAACCGAAATCAATAGTGATCACCAGTTAATCACTCGAAACCTTCCAGATTCATCAACTTATTTTGTCCACAAAACCTTGAATCCTTTGGTGACCAATCCCAATCCATTTTACAAAAATTTCGGAGTTATACCAAATCCTGTGACCACACTAACAAGAATTGGGCCATGTTTGCTCACTTCCAATGGTCCCGTATCAGTTTTTAGCTCAAAACAAAGTCAGATCAGTTCAAATGTTGGAGTTGGTTTAAAGAATGATAATCAAGATGCTAAGTTAATTGTTTGCAGCGTTCATGGAAATTCAAGGTTTCTAAGGTTGGAAGATACCCAAAAACCCGATGAATATTCTTGTGCGACGCGAAATGGTCTCGTCTTTGAAGTTGTTAATATGTTCATTAATGACTGTATTTTGGAGTTGCCTCCTAGTAGTCAACTAGAAAATTTCAGCTTAAATGGAGTATTGGCTAGCTTGCCTGGTTCTTCAAGTTCTTCGACACAATATTTGGAGAGCGATGAATTTCTTAAATATTGTTATGACTGCAACAAGGCACTAGATGGAAACGACATTTATATGTACAGGTACGTCAAATCATAAAACAAGTATTCGTGCTCACACACAAAAATGGTAGGGTTTTGTTATGGATACATAACTTTTGTACATAAAGGGATACGTAAAAATAGTATTATAAGCTCATTATTAATTTTACTATCATTTTTGCAGCGACAAGCCATTCTGCAGCAATGAATGTCGAGAGAAGGATTACATGAAGGATTCAAATTTGAAGAAAGCTGCAAAGAGTGTTTAGCGGCCATATTTACTTACAATTAAAATATTTATAATGCTTTGATGTAATAATTAATGACTGCTCTAAGATTAGAGAAACCATGAGTTACTCAAGAACTTCATTTAGTTGTGTAATTCTTCTCGTTTCTTGAATTTCAATTTGGTAAATCAATGGAGAAAGTCCAATTTTAAGTTGATAATTTAATAATTTACATAGACAAACTAAATGGGTGGTGTATTTACATGTATGAAGAAAATTTAACATTCAACCTCGTCACCATTCACCCTTTTTTCTATTTTTAGCTTATTTACTGAATCCATAATCGGAATGGTTCTACGCCCATCCCCCAGCATTTCTTTTTAGGTCATCGGAGTTGTTGATAAGGAGAGACGTTACTGCAAATTATACTCAATATCTCAGCACTCGATTATCTAATATTTGATGATAGAATTGAAATGCAAAATTAAGTAGTTATAAAACAGTCCGTTATACTATAGTTAATATAAAAGAACTGCCATGCCTTTTCGAGCTTCATTTAAAGCAATCTTACCGCACATAAGTACAATCATTTTAGCTACGATAGTTAGAAACTAATTCTAAGAAAGAAGCCAAGAGTCATTTGACTTACAACCAAATTAAGTCTATTACGACTTGTGACTGTTAAAAGATGGTTGACCTTAAAAATTCAAATATTTAATATTTCGTAATAGAATCTAAGTACCAAATCAAATAATTAAAACATCCGTTAAATTAGGAAGTACTAAAAGAAATTTTATGTCGTTTTTCAAGCTCCATTTAGTGAAATTCTGCCGGAAAAAAGTACGTAGTTATGACCACTAGCTGCATACTACGAAATTAAGAGACAATGTGATAGATGCATAAAGAGCTTGACATTTGTTATTCAAGGAGAGATGACTTGTAATCTGTTGTTGAAAAATAATTAATGGGTTTAAAGTCATTAATTTCATTTCAAAAACCAGATCAGCAAAAAATTTGAACTTAAATTGACCAGTACTCTTACCACTTTCACTAATTCCTAGGTAAAAAAGATAAACACGAACGGGAGTTCCATGAGGTTAAGGATACCTTGCTGAGTCAGCTGCTTCCATTCTAGCTAGAATCAGTCAGTTGTTTTTTGTCATTATGCATTGTGTTGGTAGAAAACATAATTACAATTCATATCTGTATGCATATATAATATTCTGTAATGAACGATTCACAAAAACTGAATGGACCCTCCTTTTCACCCACAAAAGATTTCTTCTTTATTTCATGTTAAATTTTGAATTTATATCTTTGAATGTATGTTTACCTTCCTTTTATTTTTATGGTATATACAATAATTTCAGTTCATGTTCAGTCTTGAATTGAAAATAAGCTTTCTTGATGCATGGATGACCCTTTTCCTGCAAGAAAATTAATCTTTGGTTCATGACTTTTGACACATTTCAGGATTTAGTAAGATCTGCGCTGGATTCATGAATCTAAACTCCACGAGCAATTTTGGTATGATTTATGTCCACCTTGCTCAATCTATTAATTACTTGTTTGTCTGGAAAGATTAATTTTAATTTTCACAACCCCAGAAAAAATTCCCATTTCAAATATCAAATCTGCTTCTTGATACACATCAATTTTAGTTCTTCTCAATCTTGAATTTAGCACGAACTCCTCTGATACAATGGATAATAGTTAATTAGGAAAATAAATTGTCAGCCACATTAATTTTTAACTCTTTATTGAATGTCTAGAAATTTTTAGCCCACAGTAGGGTTTTAGCTTTATCATTTGGAACTCTCTCCTTTGTTTCGTCTACAGATTTTGTTATATTTTGTATGAATAAATCTTCTCCTCTTTTCCTCATTTTTTTTTGTTCTGCAGCAAGAAATTTTTTGAAGCGTACGAGAAAAATGCTTGATTCACAAGGAAGTAAGAAAAGAAAATTTGAGTCGGACAAGGTGGTGAGCATGCCTCGTCAGACAAATATTTTCAGCCTCAACGACGAACCGTTGATGAGCACGCCTCGTCAAAATGTGAATCTTTCATGTTGTTCAACGCAATATTTCGAGAGTGCTAACTTTCTCAAATATTGTTACATCTGCAGCAAGAAACTGGATGGAAAAGATATTTACATGTACAGGTTCGTCCAAAAATTCTCCAAGAAAATAATTGTTTTACAAACACGTGCACACAAAGAATATTATAAGCTTGCGGTTAATTTCACTATCATTTTTTGCAGTGACAAACCATTCTGCAGCAATGAATGTCGAGAGATGAAGTATATGAAGGATTGTAAATTGGAGAAAGCAAAAAATGAGTGATTAGTAGCCATATTTACTTGCAGTTAAACTATTTATAAAGCTCTGATGCATGCAATTGCTCTAAATTTGTAGAAACCATGAGTTTCTCAGGAACTTAATTTATTCTTATTTTCTTGAACTTCAGTTTGATCAGTGAAGAAAGTTCAGCATTTGTGGCACTTCTAGTCTTCTAATAAACTTACAAAATACACAATGTTAATGTATATGACCCACACGGTGACTTACAATAAGGAGCATTGATCCTTGTATAATATTGATCTTTAAGAGACTTTAACACTATTCACGCTTTATCAAAGTGATTTTACGATGGAATACTCTCTCGATAAATAATACAAATAAGTTAAGTACTAATATAAGCTAACATTTCAATGAATAGTAATAAATGATAGCTCTAGCGTTAGATGAAAAACATTGATGAATGTGATAGTCAAAAATTAGACTCAATCANGATTCAATTAATTAAAGTTTTCAATATAAAGAAGCAAAAATATTTATGCAATGTAAATGCAAATATCTTCTTAAAAAATATATATATCCTTTGATATAAATAAGTTAAGCTAAAAAAGAAATAAAAAACTTTTATAAGATAAATGATTCAAGAAGTTTGGTTCAACAATTAAAGTTTTTGTTACGAAAAAATAAATGAAATGAAAGTAAAAGTGTAAGTTGAAAGAAGATATTTCACAATGAAACTCTTTTCTAATTGTTTTATGAATGTAAAGTGAAATGGTATTTAAAATTTTAATTGAATTTTAATCCAAACCAAATAGGGCTAAGTAGTGTTTTTTTAAAGAAAAGACCGTCGTAAACATTTGGTCACAACCAAAGTTAAAGAAAAGGCATATCATTTTATGTGCAAAATCGCACAAGATCCATGTTTAGAGTATGATTGTGTCTCGTTTTCTATCAAAAATGCATTTTGAAATAATATTTTGATGAAGAATGTATGTTTAAAAAATAAATAAAAGTTTTCAATTTTCGTGTAATATTATTTTATTAAAAAAATTGTGATTGAAAATAAGAAAGAGAAAAATGTGTTAAAAAAATATTGGGGACCAAACAAGGGCTTGAAGTTCTATGTTAATACATTTTGATAGCCGTGCACCATTAACGTTTTGCGATCACTGAAAGTAAGTTGATCTTGAGTGATGATCAACAACAAGTGCCTGGTGTCCGCAAAGTGTGGACGTCATTTTTTATATATATATACAGTGCTAACAATAATCTACGATAAATCCATAGTAAAATCAAATCATTTCTTTCTTGTATATTTTAAAAGTGTACAATACATTTAAAAATAATATTAACCAAATTTATAAACACTTATTTTTAACACTAATCAAGTAAAAGGTGGATTGCCTCTGAAAAAGAAAAAAATTTCACAAATGAACAATAAGCCCCCGTTTGGCCCCCATTTTTTTCCATTACTTTACATTAATTTTCTTTCTCTCTTCATTTCAACCACACATTCATCAAATAAAATAATATTACATACGAATCAAAAACTTTTCATTACTTTTCTATCACACATTCTCCCATCAATCACCATTCCAAAAATTTTCAACACTCCAAAATGGGGGGTCAAACAAGGGCTAAACGACGGACTGCCTAAGAAGCAAGTAGAGATTCAAAGTCAACAATTGTGGGTATGGATAGAAGGAAGTCCATATTACCTTTAAAGTTTAGATGAATAGTGGAGAATGGATATGAATAAAATGGAAAAAAAAAAAAAAGAAGCTCTACAAATGAACAGTGAACGATTGATTGCCTCCTTTAAAGATACTAGTCTATTGCCCATACAATTCACGAGTTATGTTATTTTGAAGGTAATGTTAGCGATAAGTTTGTATCTATACTTTGTTGTTTAACAATAGAAATGTGTATAGAATGATCTCAATTTTCAATAACATCAAAATAAATTAACAATGTTATAAAGTTGAACTGAAACATTGTTAGATATTTTTTCATAATTTATTTATTTATTGTTGTTATACAAATGGTTTGCCGTTTCGAAAAGAGAATCGACATGTCCAATCAAGTCAAGGAGGCAGTGCCTCTCGTGGGGTCTTGGAGGCAACTACTCCTTTGAAAGGGAATTCTGATTTCACTGTAAGTATTGAAGAGTTGCGATTTATGTGCGTCGAGTTTATTCAGATTCTTATATTCCCTATAATTTATAATTTTCTTAAATTCCTACAAAAATGATATTACATGAATGAAAAAACACATGTAGTAGAGAAAATCTGAATAGTTTAAAGAAGTTTTCAACCATGCTGATGAATGAATGAAGTCTTTATCTGCTGTTCTTTGTGCATGTAAAATATAACAGATGACGCTGTGCAGAGAGAAGTATATGCACGACGCTGCATGAAGCGGGATCTAATTGACACTGCGCAGCACGAAGACACTGCGAGGAGATCTCTCAGTGCACGCTGAGACATGCTCTGCGTAGTGTCTTTGTGCAGCGCACAGACATGCTCCGCGTAACAGTCTCTGTGCACATCTCTGTGCACGCGGAGACATGCTCTGCGTAGTGTCTTCGCACTGCGTGGAGACATGTGCAGATAGAAGAGAAAGAAGGTGACCGTCCTCTCCGTGCACCGCAGAAAGAAGAGGAAGAAGGCTCGATACGCAGTTGGAGTACTATGCTATAGTACCAGGGTCGTTTTTGCAGAGTCAAGAGATTCAGATCCTATAGTA